CTGCCTTGGCCTCCCAAAGTGCTGGGATTAGAAGGGTGGGCCACTGCGCCCAGCCACCAACAGATCATTTTAAGGTGAAGTGGGACACAATTCTTTCCCAAATAAGAATACTTCAATCAGCTGAGTGAGTAGAAAATAGAGGCTGAAAACTAGCAAAAAGACTATTGTACTGTCCCAGCAAAGAAAGCAAATAAACAATTCTAAGACCACAAACATGGAAATGGTAATCAAGAAAACAAGTGGAGGCTGGGCGCAGTGGCTCTTGCCTGTAGTTTCAGCACGTTGGGAGGCCAAGGTGGGAAGACTGCTTGAGCCCAGGAGTTTAAGACCAGCCTGGACAGCAGGGTGAGACTCTGTCTCTACAAAAGTTAAAAAATTAGCCAGGCCTGGTGGTGCACACCTGTAGTCCCAGCTGAGGTGGGAGGATGACTGAAGCCCAGGAGGTTGAGGCTTCAGTGATTGTGCCACTGCACTCCAGCCTGGGTAACAGAGTGAGAACCCATATCAGAAAAAAAAAAAAAAAAAAAAAAGGAGAAGAAATGTGGATTTCAAGAGATTTCTGCCTAGCACTTGAAAAAAAAAAAAAAAAAAATCCTTCCCTGGTCAGGCACAGTGGCTCATACCGGTAATCCCAGCACTTTGGGAGGCTGAGGCGGGTGGATCACGAGGTCAGAAGTTCAAGACCAGCCTGATCAACATGGTGAAATTCCATCTCTAATAAAAATGCAAAAATTAGCAGGCGTGGTAGTGCATGCATGTAATCCCATTTACTCAGGAGACTGAGGCAGGAGAATTGCTTGAACCCAGGAGGCAGAGGTTGCAGTGAGCCAAGATCACACCACTGCACTTCAGCCTGGACAACAGAGGGAGATTTTGTTTAAAAAAAAAAAAAAAAAAAAATCCCTCCCTCAACTCTTGAATAAGGTGACTTATTACGAATCCTGTTTTAGGGAGGTCTTCATCTAACAACCTCTAAGCAACTTTTTTTTTTTTTTTTTTTTTTTTGAGATAGTTTCACTCTTATTGCCTAGGCTGGAGTGCAATGGTGAAATCTCAGCTCACCGCAAACTCCATCTTCCAAGTTCAAGCAATTCTCCCTCATCCTCCCAAGTAGCTGGGATTACAGGCGTGTGCCACCATGCCTGGCTAATTTTTTGTATTTTTAGTAGAGACGGGATTTCTCCATGTTGGTCAGGCTGGTCTCGAACTCCCAACCTCAGGTGATCCACCTGCCTTGTCTTCCCAAAGTGCTGGGATTATAGGTGTGAGCCACTGCGCCTGGCCCAGCAACTTTCTTAAAACTAATTCATCAAATGACTAATTCTTTGAATTTTTTTTTTCTTTAAATCATATTCATTGTGACTCCCTCCTGCTGCAGGCTAGAGTCTGGGAGACAAACAGAGGGAGACTGGGGGAATGTCTTCTTGATTATAGCTTCTTTTCTAGTTAAGAACATACTCAAGATAAACACTTATTTATAACAATTTTCATATGAAAGACTATTCAAAAACATATGCAAGAAACATGATTTATTCTTGACTGTGATGAATAATTGCAAATATTATTCCTATGAATTAATATATAAATTATATCCAAAACTGTAAGGCTACAGACTATAGGATTCCCTTCATATGACATTCTGGAAATGGCAAAATTATAGGGAAAGAAACAAGATCCACGTTGCCAGGGTTTAGGAGCTGGGACAAGGGTTGACTATAAAGGAAAGGCAGGAGATTGAGGAGGATGAAGGGATACATTGTGCTGAATACATAACTCTGTCATTTATCAAAATCCATACAAATGCACACTACAAAAAGTGATTTTTACAGTGTGGAAATTCATCAAATCAGCCCAGATGTAGAGGGAAAGATGGAATGCAGACTCTGACAAATGACTCACGTAAGCACAGTGGAGGGGTGGAGAAGAAGCAGCTGGCTTAAGTAACTTTGAAGAACTGTGTTTTGGGTCAGGCATGGTGGCTCATGTCTGTAATCCTAGCACTTTGGGAGGCCAAAGCAGGAGGCTTGTTTGAGTTCAGGAGAGATCAGCCTGGGCAACATAGCAAGGCCCCCTACCTCTACAAAGAATTTTTAAAATTAGCCGGGCATCATGGTGTGCCTGTAGTCCTAACTACTCCGGAGGCTGAGGTGGGAGAATCGCTTGGTTCCAGGAGATCAAGGCTGCAGTGCCACTGCACACCAGACTCAGTGACTGAGCAAGACCCTGTCTCAAATTTTAAAAAAGGAAAAAGAAAAAAAAAACAACAACCTGTGTTTTTATCATAAAACTAAAGACAAAAAAATAAAAATACAGAAACACTGTACTGTAGTTGGTAAATTTGTTTCAAAATAAGTAAAATATGTGTTTATAGATATTCATAGCCATGTCAGAGAAAGGAGTTACAAATAAAGAAAAGAGAGAGACTAGAATGAACCCCACGTTGCCGGAATGAAGCTGGAGGTGTCAGAATGCACCCAGGCTTGTGTTTAACACACAGGTTGAGCAGCCCTCATCTGAAAATCTAAAATGCTCCCAAATCCAAAACTTACTGAGCACCAACGTGACACCACAAGTCAACGTACACAAACTGTTTCATGCATAAAATTATTTACAATATTGCATAAAGTTATCTTCAGGCTACATGTATGTATAAGGTATATATAAAACATAAATAAATTTCATGATTGAACTTGGGTCTCATCCCCAAGATATCTCATTGCATATATGCAAATAATTTGAAATCCAAGAATCCAAAACACTTGTGGTCCCAAGCATTTCAGATAAGTGATTCAACCTGTATATGTAGACAGATAATTACAGAAATAAATACAAACGTGTTCATGCATGAATTGGTATACATACGTATATTTCCTAGATCTAACTTCTGTGGGGGCAAGAAGTAGTGACACCCATTATGAATGAGCACACCTAGTACTCAAATCTTGGTTTCTAAATATTGTTCTCTAACACAAAGAGGAGCCAGAGCTCTGCAGAGAAATAGTGGACTCTAGGGCCTCGATGGAGAAAATACAAAATGAGCATGAAGCATCTTGTAATACCAGGGCTCAAGAAAGTGTTTTAAAAAGGGATGGAGGCCAGGCATGGTGGCTCACACCTGTAATCCCAGCAATTTGGGAGGCCAAGGCAGGCGGATCATGAGGTCAAGAGATCGAGATCCTCCTGGCCAACATGGTGAAACCCCGTCTCTACTAAAAATACAAAAATTAGCTGGGCATGGTGGCATATGCCTGTAGTCCCAGCTACTCTGGAGGCTGAGGCAGGAGAATGGCTTGAACACAGGAAACAGAGGTTGCAGTGAGCTGAGATCTCGCCACTGCACTCCAGCCTGGCAACAGAGTAAGACTGCATCTCAAAACAAACAAACAAACGAACAAACAACAACGAAAAAAAAAAAAAAAAACAAAGAAGGGGATGGAGAGGCCAGAAACAGGGGCTTGAGCCTGCAATCCCAGCACTTTGGGAGGCCAAAGCAAGTGGATTGATTGAGCCCAGGAGTTTAAGACCAGCCTGAGCAATATGACAAAACCATGTGTCTTAAAAAAAATCTGGGTGTGGTGGCACACACCTGTTCCCCATCTACTCAGAAGGCTGTGGTGGGAGGATTAGTTGAGCTCAGGAGACGTGGATTACAATGAGCCAAGACTGCACCACTGCACTCTAGCATGAGCAACATAGTGAGACTTAAACTCAAGAAAACAACAACAACAACAAAAGACAAAAAAAGTAGGAATGGAGATATTAGCTGGGTGGGCTGGTGCACACCTGTAGTCCTAGCAACTTGTAGGAGGCTGAGGCAGGAGGATCGCTTGGGCCCAGGAGTTTGAGGCTGTATGATGGTGCCACTGCAATTCAGCCCGGGCAACACAGTGAAATCCTGCCTCAACAAAACAAAACAAAACAAAACAAAAGGATGGAGGATATTAAAAAGGCGCTGGAGCCCATCTGAAAGAGCTCCCAGTGGCCAAAGTTTGAGCAACAAAACAAATAGTGATACTATTGGATCATAACTCACAGAACAAAGTAAACATTTGAGTCCACACTGATATAAACAAATCATTGAATAAATAAAATGGGGAAAGGGCACAACTTTTTCTTACAGAGGCATTTCAGTTAATAAATGTAGAAGGAATCCAATCTATCACCGTTAGAAGCCCACAGTAATAGTTGCTATAGTCGAGTTGTACCGATGGATGCTAAAATTAGTGGGTGAAAGTTGAAGCAAGAACAGAGTATTTTCATAGTCTAAAATAATTCCCCCAAATATTTAGTAATTAAAAGGGAAAAATAGTAACTTTCCAGTGGAGAATCCTGTCTGATGCCACCTTAACCAGTGACCAGGGTGAACTCTCCCGTAATAAGTCATGTTGACGTCATGTGCTCTCTGATAAGCTGCACTGAGAAGGGCGCCTCACTGCTGTGATGTCCTTCCCAATAGCTCACAGCTCCCACTTACTCATAAGAAAATCAGGCAAACCAAAGTTGTGGAACATGTGTAAAATATCTGACCAGGGTCCCGGCCCAGTGGCTCACATCTATAATCCCAGCACTTTGAGAGGCCAAGGCAGGCGTGTCACTTGAGGTCAGGAGTTCAAGACCAGCCTGGCCAACATGGTGAAACCCCATCCGTACTAAAAATATAAAAAATAGCTGTGCATGGTGATGTGTGCCTGTAATCCCTGTTACTCGGGAGGCTGAGACAGGAGAATCACTTGAACCTGGGAGGTGGAGGTTGCAGTGACCCGAGATCAAGGCACTGCACTCCAGCCTGGGCAACAGAGCAAGACTCCATCTAAAAAAAAAAAAAAAGAATCTGACCAGGACTCCAAAAGTGTCAACATCATGAGGAAAAGAAAGACAGACTACAAAACCAGCCTCCTGGAGAGAGATCCAAGATGGATTACTAACAGCTTGGGATTGTAGCTTCCAGTGAAAGTGCAGAGAACAAGAGGATGCCACACTTTCAAATTTTTTTTGCTCAGGGACCAGGAGATTCCCAGCTGAGGAGCCCCGTGGGTCGCCGGTGGGGCGGTTTTGCCAGCGCCCTGGCATGGCAGTTCCCTGTGCGGAGTGAACGGGACTGGTTCCCCTTTTGGTCGATGTTTGGAGCTCCGGGAATGCAGAAACGCCCATTCAGCTGATTGAAAGGGGGACCCAGGAGGGAAGCCAGACCAGAGATTCCTGGGCGGAAAAGCATCAGGAGTCTTGGCACCGCTGTTTTGGCTGGTGCAGTGGGTTGCTCAGATTTGGGCACTGGGAATGAACAAGTTGGACGTCCACTCAGAGACCTAATTTGAAAGTCGGTGATTACAAAGACAACAGGTGGATAAATTTACAATGACGGGAAGAAAACAGCGTAAAAAGGCTGACGATACTCAAAATCAGAATGCTTCTCCCTCAGGGGATCACAGTTCCTCATCAACAAGGGAACAAGGCCTGATGGAGAATGAGTGTGTTCCAATAACAGAATTAGGCTTCAGAAATTGGATAATAAGAAACCTCTGTGAGTTAAAGGAACATGTTCTAACCCAAAGTAAAGAAACTAAGAACCTTGAAAAAAGGTTTGACAAATCCTAATGAGAATGGACAATTTAGAGAGGAATATAAGTGAATTAATGGAACTGAAGAATACAATAAGAGAACTTCACGAAGTATGCACAGGTTTTAACACTCGAATTGATCAAGCAGAAGAAAGGTTATCAGAAGTCAAAGACCAACTTAATGAAATGAAACAAGAAGACAAGATTAGAGAAGAAAAAGTAAAAAGGAATAAGCAAAGTATACAGGAAATATGGGACTATGTGAAAAGACCTAATTTACGTTTGATAGGTGTACCTGAATGTCATGAAGAGAATGAATCCAAGCTGGAAAATATTTTTCAAGATATTATTCAGGAAAACTTTCCTAATCTAGTAACACAGGACAATACTCAACTCCAGGTAATACAGAGAACACCACAAAGATATTCCTCAAGTAGAGCAACCCCAAGACACATGATCATTAGATTCATCAGGGTTGAAATAAAGGACAAAATTATAAGGGCAGCTAGAGAGAAAGATCAGGTTACCCATAAAGGGAAACCTATCAGACTCACAGCAGATCTCTCAGCAGAAACCCTACAAGCTAGAAGAGAGTGGGGGTTAATATTCAATATCCTCAAAGAAAAGAATTTTCAACCCGGAATCTCATATCCAGCCAAACTAACTTTCATAAATGAAGGAAAAATAAAATTTTTCATGAACAAGCAAGCACTCAGAGATTTCATCACCACCAGGCCTGCTTTACAAGAGCTTCTGAAAGAAGCACTATACACAGAAAGGAACAACCAGTATCTATCATCCCCAAAACTTACCAAAACATAAAGACTATCTTCATAATGAAGAATCTCTATCAAGTGATGGGCAAAATAGCCAGCTAGCATTAAATGACAATATTAAACTCACAAATGTCAATATTAATCCCCAATTAAAGACACAGACATGCAAGTTGAATAAAAAGTCAAAACCCCTCAGCATGCTGTGTCCAGATCCATCTCATAAGCAAGGACACACAAAGACTCTAAACAAAAGGTTGGAGGAAGACTCACCAATCAAATGGAGAGCAAAACAAACAAACAAACAAAAACAGGAGTTGTAACTGTCATCTCTGACAAAATAGACTTCAATAGTAACAAAGACTAAAAGAAACAAAGAAGGACATTACATAATGGCAAAAGGATCAAAGTAACAACAGAAGTCAATGATCAATGATCATAAATATACATGCACCTAATATAGGAGCACCCAGATACATAAGACAAGCTTTTAATGACTTGTAAAGAGACTTAGACTCCCACACAATAATAGTGGGAGACTTCAACATTAATATTAGAAAGATCAACGAGACAGAAAATTAACAAGGATATCCAGGACTTGAATTCAGATTCGGAACAAGTAAACTTAATAAACATTTATAGAACTCTCCACTTTAAACACACAAAATACACCATCTTATCAGTACATCACACCTACTCACAGGTTTAAATGAAATATTGATTGGCTGCTTGTTATTGTCTTCCCTCGTTTTTTTCCCCTGTTTCCATTATTAAGCATAAAAGAGATTTTCAATACCCATTTAAAAAAAAAAAAAGAAAGAAAGAAAGACAAAGCTTAGAGGAGCCTAAGGAGACCGGACAAATCAATGCTTCGTGGAATCCTGATTGGATCCTGGAACAGAGAAAGTGCATTCATGGAAAAGCACGTGACATCTGAGTAAATTCCACAGTTTAGTTAATAGTATTATACTAGGCTGGGCACGGTGGCTCAATCCCAGCACTTTGGGAGGCAGAGGTGGGTGGATCATCTGAAGTCGGGAGTTTGAGACCAGCCTGACCAACATGGAGAAACCCCATCTCTACTAAAAGTACAAAATTAGCCGGGTGTGGTGGCTAATGCCTGTAATCCCAGCTACTCAGGAAGCTGAGCCAGGAGAATCGCTTGACCTAGGAGGCGGAGGTTACTGAGATCCTCTCATTGCACTCCAGCCTGGGCAACAAGAGCTAAACTTTATCTCAAAAGAAAAAGAAAAAAATAATATTGTACCAACAATAACTTCTTAGCGTCTATAACTGTATATATAATTTCTCAGTTTCTATAAATATAATTGTACTATTGACATGAGGAAAAGTTGGGGGAAGAATATATGGGAACTCTCTGTTTTTGTAATACTCTGTAAGTCTAAAATGATCTCAAAATGAAGTTTTAAAAGTTCTAAAACAACACCAAACCAAAAAAATCCTATAGACCTGTACATGAAAAAGGATGAATTTTATCATATGCAAATTATACCTCTTGACTTAGAAAATAATATAGTATCCTTACTATACTCTTTTGAAATCTATTCATTAGTTATACTAAATATATACAAATACTTCTGAACGTGTTTAAATACTATGTTTGAAAATGTTGCTGGGCAATGTGGCTCACATCTCTAATCCCAGCACTTTGGAAGGCTGACAAGGGAGGATCTCTTGAGCTCAGGAGTTCAAGAAGAGCCTGAGCAACATAGTGAGACCTTGTCTCTACTAAAAATTAAAATAATAATAATAATAATCAGCTGGGCATGGTGGTGCATGCATGTAGTCCCAGCTACTCGGGAGGCTAAGGTGGGAGGATCATTTGAGTCTGGGAGATTGAGGCTGCAGTGAGCCATGATAGCACCACTGCATTCCAGTTTGGGCAATACAGCAAGACCCTGTCTTAAAAAAAAAAAAAAAAAAAAGTAAGAAGGAAAAGAAAAAGAAAATGTGTAATATATTCAAATAATACTAGAAGTTAACATAATCAATTAAATTTGGTAAACCAGCCATTTATTAAATTGATTTTCAGGAAATCAGCTGCCATCTCAGAGGGGAACAGTTCCAAGCCCACCTGCAATTTCAAGCTCCTCTTTTAGTTAGGAGGACACTGGGAAAGAGAGCGGCCCCGCAGATGGCGAGAGACATCTCTGAATGAAGATGGAAACCAACAATGATCTTCTAGACAGTGATGGGCGAGGCAGGGATGAGGGTCAGAGAAGAAGGAAAAGATGTGGGCATTCTCTTTCAGGCCTGACCTCACCACAAGTGGACTGACTTTGTGCAGTGATATGGCTTGGCTGTGTTCCCACCCAAATCTCAACTTGAATTGTAGCTCCCAGAATCACCAACACCCCACGCCCCCACACCGTGTTGAGGAGGAACGCGGGGGAGGTAATTGAATCATGGGGCAGTCTTTCCCGCGCTGTGATCGTGATAGTGAATAAGTCTCGAGAAGGCCGGGCGCGGTGGCTCAAGCCTGTAATCCCAGCACTTTGGGAGGCCGAGGCGGGTGGATCACGAGGTCAAGAAATCGAGACCATCCTGGTCAACATCGTGAAACCCCGTCTCTACTAAAAATACAAAACATTAGCTGGGCATGGTGGCGCGTGCCTATAATCCCAGCTACTCAGGAGGCTGAGGCAGGAGAATTGCCTGAACCCAGGAGGCGGAGGTTGCAGTGAGCCGAGACCGTGCCATCGCACTCCAGCCCGGGTAACAAGAGCGAAACTCCGTCTCAAAAAAAAAAAAAAAAAAGTCTGGAGATCTGCTGGGTTTGCCAGGGGTTTCTGATTTTGCTTCTTTCTCATTTTCTCCGGCCACCTCCAGGTAAGAAGCGCCTTTTTCCTCCCTCCAGGATTCTGAGGCCTCCCCAGGCATGTGGAACTGTAAGTCCGACGAAACCTCTTTTTCTTCCCAGTCTGGAGTAAGTCTTTCTCAGCAGTGAAAACAGACGAATAGATGCAGCAACTGAGAAAGCTTGCTGGGGTGAGGGCACTGGAGTAGGGGGAGCAAGGAGAGATCTCTGGGCTGGAGAGAAGCCGAGGAAGAGGATTTGGGGGGATGATTGAGAGAAGACACAGGTTTTAAGAGAGAGAAATTGGGTGTTCACGGCCCCCTCATGAGTGCTCCTCCCATTCTGTTGGGGGACCTTCTCCTGTCCTTACCAAATGTCCTCTACCCTCTGACACCCAGCTCTCCTCTTGCCAGGCATCGTTCCCCAGGCAGGCCTGGCCTACGCCGTCCTTGGTCACCCTGACTTTACTGTGGCCACCTGTGGGAAGGAAGGCCGAGCACTGAGACATCGGGTGGAGAATCGTTTTCAACAAGGCTCCGCATCAGAAAGAGGCGCAGTCACGCTGACAGGCTCGGTCCCCTGAGACTGCTCCGCTCTGGGCTCTGGTCCAAGGCTGAGAGCCCCTTCCGCTCTGACAGCCTCTTCTGCCCTGCCCTGCCCACTCCAGTGAGTGACAGGGGGTAATGGAGAAGCCGCTCCTCGCTGCAGGAGGGAAGACCCGGAGCCCGGCCTCCCGCGGTAGCGACACATAGAAACCCCAGCCGCTATGGGCGGAAAGGACAAGGGCAGCGCGGAAAAAGGCCGAGGAGGAGGGAGGAAAAGGTGTCCTGGCGAGCACCGTGTGGATTCTCTTGAGATGACAATTCCCGGCTACATCCCTCCTGCTGTTGGCCCTGCTTCTCCTGAGGTGTTCAGAACGGGGTAGGAGAGTTAATTTTGGTGAGAAGGATGCAAAGGTTCCCAGGGCCTGGAGAGACGGAGTCAGGGGTCCTGGAGAAGAAACCTCTGGGGACTCAGACAGGCCCAATCCTGAGCGAAGGTACGGAATAGGTGAGGGAACCTCAGGAGGCTCCTGACCCTGCTATTTGCCCTCAATCTCCTGCTACAGGGAAGCAGGGAGCTCAGTGTCTTTCTCATATCCCCCACCCCTTTTATTTTTGAGACGGAGTTTCACTCTTGTTGCCCAGGCTGGAGTGCAATGGCGCGATCTCGGCTAGCTGCAACCTCCACCTCCTGGGTTCAAACAGTTCTCCTAATTGAGCCTCACCAATAGCCGGGATTACAGGCATGCGCCACCACGCCCGGCTAATTTTGTATGTTAGTAGAGACGGGATTTCTCCATGTTGGCCAGGCTGCTCTCAAACTCCTGGCCTCAGGTGATCTGCCCGCCTCGGCCTCCCAAAGTGCTGGGATTATAGGTGTGAGCCACTGCGCCCATCCTCTCCTGACCCCTTTCAAGAAAATACTCTGCTTTTGATTTTGTACATTTTATTTCAGTTTCTTTGTTTCAACTTTCCTTGAGAAAGGAAAGATTTGGCACTCCTGCAATCCAGCACTTTGGAGGCTGAGAAGGAGGGGGATCCTTTGAGCCCAGGAGTTTGAGACAAGCCTGGGCAATGTAGTGAGACACCATCTCTACAAAAAACAAAAAAATCAGCCAGGCGAAGTGACCCATGCCTGTAGTCTTACCTACTCAGGAAGCTGAGGTGGGAGGATCACTTGAGGTCAAGGCTGCAGTGAGCCATGATTGCACTACTGAACTCCAGCCTGAGTCACAGAACAAGGCTCTGTCTCAAAAAGAAAGAGAGATAGAGAGAGAGGGAGAGAGAATGAAAGAAAAAGAAAGAAAGACAAGACGACAAGACAGGACCAAGTGCAGTGGCTCATGCCTGTAATCCCAATACTTTGGGAGGCCCAGGCGGGTTGGTCATCTGAGGTCTGGTGTTTGAGACTAGCCTGGCCAACATGGTGAAAACCGGGGTCTACTAAAAATACAAAAATTAGCCAGGTGTGGTGGCACGCACCTGTAATCCCAGCTACTTGGGAGTCTTGAACCTGGGAGGTGGAAGTTGCAGTAAGCGGAAATCATGCTATTGCACTCCAGCCTGGGCGATAGAATGAGACTCCAACTCAAAAAAAAAAAAAAAAAAAAAAAAAATTAGAGGAAGGAAGGAAGACTTGAATCCCATTAGAAAAATGTGGAACAGCAGCAGCAGGGAGAGAGAGAACTAGATTTGGACAGAGTCCCAAAAGTTCAAAATTCATGTCATGTAGGCTACATGTATTCCTAAGAATAAATACTCCCAGTCCTGAAGCCTGCCTGTGGCAATGAGGGCTGGAGGTGAAGGGGATTCATCTCTCCTTTGTATTTATACCCAACTCAGTGCTGCTGTCAGTCCAACTAGATCATACCCACATCCCTCCCTCATGACTGCTCCCCAAAACCTGCCCCCACACCAACTTGAATCTTTTCTGCCTCCAAGCCTACCACATTAGCCCCAGATCTGACCCAGAAGCTGTCTCATTTTTTTGCTTTTTGTTGTTGTTGTTGTTATTTTTCCTTTTTGAGATGGAGTTTCGCTCTTGTCACCCAGGCTGGAGTGCAGTGTCGTAATCTCTGCTCACTGCAACCTCCGCCTCCCAGGTTCAAGCAATTCTCCTGTCTCAGCCTCCAGAGTAGCTGGGACTACATGCACCTGTGACCATGCCTGGCTAATTTTTGTATTTTTCGTAGAGTCAGGGTTTCACCGTATTGGCCAGGCTGGTCTTGAATTCCTGACCTCAGGTGGTCCGCCCACCTTGGCCTCCCAAAGTGCTGGGATTACAGGCATGAGCCACCACACCCAGCCAGCTGTCTTATTTTTAATCATACACCAAGCATGACCTGAGTGTAATCTCTAACATGGGCCGGGCGCGATGGCTCAAGCCTGTAATCCCGGCACTTTGGGAGGCCGAGGCGGGTGGATCACGAGGTCAAGAGATCGAGACCATCCTGGTCAACATGGTGAAACCCCATCTCTACTAAAAATACTAAAGATTAGCTGGACATGGTGGCGTGTGCCTGTAATCCCAGCTACTCAGGAGGCTGAGGCAGGAGAATTTCTTGAACCCAGGAAGCGGAGGTTGCGGTGAGCTGAGATCGCGCCATTGCATTCCAGCCTGGGTAACAAGATTGAAACTCCGCCTCAAAAAAAAAAAAAAAAAAAAAAAAATCTCTAACATGAATTACAACTTCAGCCTCACTGGTTTGCCAGAACCCCAGGCACAAGTGGATGAGAGGAGACACCTATGAACATGGAGTCAGAATACCCCAAATTGCTGAAACACCAGCTCAGAGAGCAATGAGCTCAAGAAAGAGTCAGGTTTAGGGTCCCATGGAAAGAGACCAGACCTGGAAAGGACAAAGTCAAAGTTGTATGAGCAGGCCTTCGAAGGACGTGGCTCAGCAAAGTTAATCCATATTGTAGTGCAAGAGGATTCTTTGTGGAATGCGTTTTACTGGAATTAAATGAAAAATGCCAAATGATCCCTAATTCAAACAAATCTAACCACATTACCTGGGGAGATGTGTCATTTGGATGTGAGGATTGTTATGAAAAATACTAAGCAGAGCAGATGAGGATAGGCCATCAACAATTCACTTCAATGAGATTATGTTTTAGTAGGACTAAGCCAAGGCATTTCTACTAAGCACCCGGAGACCAGCCCTAAAGACTCAAGAACAAGGGAAAATTATATAACTGCAGATGGAAGAACCGCTGAGGATCACATCACTGCAGACCCAGGGACCACTGAGGACCACATCACTGCAGACCCAGGGACCGCTGAGGACCACATCACTGCAGACCCAGGGACCGCTGAGGACCACATCACTGCAGACCCAGGGACCGCTGAGGACCACATCACTGCAGACCCAGGGACCGCTGAGGACCACATCACTGCAGACCCAGGGACCGCTGAGGACCACATCACTGCAGACCCAGGGACCACTGAGGACCACATCACTGCAGACCCAGGGACCACTGAGGACTTAATCACAGCAGACCCAGGGACCACAGAGGACTCCGTCACTGCAGACCCAGGGACCACCGAGGACTCCATCACTGCAGACCCAGGGACCACGGAGGACTCCGTCACTGCAGACCCAGGGACCACGGAGGACTCAGTCACTGCAGACCCAGGGACCACTGAGGACTCCGTCACTGCAGACCCAGGGACCACTGAGGACTCCGTCACTGTAGACCCAGGAACCACCGAGGATTCCATCACTTCAGACTAAAGGACCACTGAGAACTATGTCACTGCAGGCTCTTGGACCACAGAAGATGAAATCACAAAACATGGTGACATTCACCTTCTGTGAACTACTTGAGTCACAGCAGCGAAACCCACCAGGCTCCTGACACCCATGGGAATTATCCCCATATCCCTGGCTGCAGCCACAGTCATGTTGCACTCTGTGTTGGACTGGGCTTCATTTCGGTGAGTATCTAGTCCGGGAATATTCAGGGCATCATGGGAATGAGGCCATGTGAGGGTAAGGGGTGGGCATGGAGAGCTGAGGTACAGGGGTCCAAGAAGTCGTCAGGCGTGAGGAAGCGTACATTGAGAGAGTTCTGCAAAGACTCCCGGAGAGACAGAGATGGAGAGAAAGGAAAAGAGCACCTGGCACAGAAGATGCAGAAAGCACTGGGGAGAGAGAAAGCTGTGAGACACAGAGGGGGAGAGGAAGAAAAGAGAGGCTGAGCGTGAGAAAGCAGACAGAGAGAAACAAAAACACAGACATGGCAAGTCACAGCGGGAGTCAGAGCAAAGCATGAACCATTCGGTAGAGATGAATATAAAAAAGAAAGTCTTCCTAAGAAGACAAGGAACTGGGCACCAGAGGAGTGGATGAATTAGAAACTTTCTGGGTGGTCCACCCAGATCAGGAATTACATATTCTTGTGTTAATTACTACCCACTCTGGAGTTCTGCAGAAGATTTTTTTCAACCAAAATTGGGTGGGTTTTTATGAGCACCACGACTGTATACTGGAGAGAGAGACAGTTTGTACCAGCTCCAAGAGGAGCTCTGAGTATTTTTCTGTCTCTGAGGGTCCCTGTTATTTCTACAAAAGGAGACAAAAGAATTCCCGGTAAACCCTGTGTGTTTCATTTCGCCAAACTCGTGGGTGGAATCAACCCAAAAGCAGCAGCAGGGGAATTCCCACAGGGAGTGGCCCAAACCCTCCAGAGACGGGGCCAATTGGGATCCCAAAGAAAGAAGCCCAGATGTCAGGGTGATCAGTTCGAAGCATTTGTTACAGGAACTGCAGCAATCCTCCCTGCCGACAGTGAGGGGAAAGGGATGTTCTGTCTGGGTATGTCTGTAGCAAGGGGGTCAGGGTACGGAGTTTATATGGGGGTTTAGGGAATTTGACTCAGGCCTGAGCCAGTTTCTTTCAATGTCTTGGGAAACAACCAAGATACCTTTATTAGTGCCTGAGAGCGTTCAAGGCCCTGGTTTCAGTTCAAGCCTGCTGGAGGAAACCTGCCGCTGGCCAAGGCACAGAATGGTCAAGGCGATCTGTGATTTTCAGTCAGGACTCAGAAGGAAAAGAAGGTGATCTGGGGAACCCCACATTGTGGCTGCCTCTCACTGACACTTGATCTAAAACACAAGCCTTCTGCTTCTGGTCTGCTGCTTGATGGGGAAGGGCTGGTCGTTTTGGCCATCCTGACCTAAGGATTAAGTGCATGTCAAAATTTTAACAAGTGGCGGCTTGCAGGATTAGCCAACTCGGGCAGGTCATGAAAGCCTCGTTAATTCTTGCCGGTCACTGATGCCATTGTGCACTGACCCCTGCCCTAAGAGGCAGATCCACAGCTTTGGGTGACTTCGTAAGTGTGAGTAAAGCCGAAAGTAATGCATGATACAGTTGAGGTGTTCACAATTAATTCTGCTAAAATGACACCATGAAACTAGAGCATTCTGAAGGATGCTGACAAGAGGAAAACGGAATGAAAGCAACTGTATGTATCCGACTCATGCGTGAGTCACATTCCGTATTCACCAGTAGAGGGAGGACCTTCTGACTTTGCTGTTGTCATAAACGATTGGATTTCTGATCATGTTCTAGATTGAAGGATGCTTTTCTTCCTCCAAACCAGGCATTGGCCCAGAGAAGTCACTAGCATTAGCACCTTCCTAATTTCGTGTAGAGAATAAAAATAAGAGATAGCTCTGCTGGGCGCAGTGGCTCATGCCTGTAATCCTAGCACTCTGGGAGGCCGAGGCGGGCAGATCACGAGGTCAGGAGTTCGAAACCAGCCTGGTCAACATGGTGAAACCCTGTCTCTACTAAAAATACAAAACTTAGCCAGGAATGGTGACACGCACCTGTAATCCTAGCTACTCAGAAAGCTGAGGCAGGAGAATCGCTTAAACCCAGGAGGCAGAGGTTTCAGTGAGCCAAGATCGCACCACTGCACTGCAGCCTGGGTGACAGAGTGACACTTCGTCTCAAAAAAAAAAAAAAAAAGAGATGATTCAAAAGGCTTAGGATGTGGGAAGTAAGAGGAAAGTCTTTGCTCCCAAACTTGCTAAATTGTTTACTTTTACCCAAAGAGTTTTAAAAATAAGAATTATATTACCATTCCTCCTAAGTTCCACTTATCAAAATGCTTTTTTCTTTAACCCTTAATGGTTTAAGGGTTTTTATTGTTTTGTTTTTATAGGCTTCCCCCCCTCCCCCCAAATGTTGTGGACATTTTTGGAAGTATTGATCTCTAATAGTCAGTGTCAGGATCTGAAGAAAACAGTGACATCTAGCGGACTCACAGAGCCAGGGAAACGGGCTGGGCAGAAGTGATAGATTACAAACCACCTGAGTTAAGAGAGGAGCAGAGTCTTAAAACCAAACCATTTTCGGCCGGGCGCGGTGGCTCAAGCCTGTAATCCCAGCACTTTGGGAGGCCGAGGCGGGTGAATCACGAGGTCGAGAGATCAAGACCATCCTGGTCAACATGGTGAAACCCCGTCTCTACTAAAAATACAAAAAATTAGCTGGGCATGGTGGCGTGTGCCTGTAATCCCAGCTACTCAGGAGGCTGAGGCAGGAGAATTGCCTGAACCCAGGAGGCGGAGGTTGTGGTGAGCCAAGATCACGCCATTGCACTCCAGCCTGGGTAACAAGAGCGAAACTCTGTCTCAAAAAAAAAAAAAAAAAAAAAAAAAAACCAAACCATTTTCTTCCTCCCTAGAAAGAGTGTTTCCTGGCTCTGTTAAATCCATCCACCAAAGTTATTTATCACCCCCATGGCATGGCCTAGAGTGCACCATGAAGAGGATCCCAGCAGTGACTACAGTGGGCTCTAGAAAAAGCAGACCCCCGTCCGCCTCTGCAGGACCATGCAGCGTGGTATGCGTCCTCAGGCCTCCGCTCCTCTGCCCCAGTCAGGAGCCCTGGGAATAAGCACCACCACATGAGGAAGGCAGCTGGCGTCTGGAATAAGCACGTGGAGGACACCCAGAAGGATGCCCATCCGCTCTGAGTGTCTCCGAATTGTGCCTCACCTCGGTTACTCCCTCCGGACAATCTTTACCCATCTGCCAGGTTTCGAAGAATTATGCACAGCTCAGATATAAAAGATATTCATTAAGTCCAATCAAATCAAAAAGGAAATTTTGTGTTTCTGTCTGGGTTGTATCTCTACATTCATTCATTTAACTGTATATATATATATATATATATACATTTTTTTTAGACAGAGTTTTCTTTCACCCAGGCTGGAGTAAAGTAGTGTGATCTCAGCTCACTACAACCTCTGCCTGCTGTGTTCAAGCGATTCTCCTGCCTCAGCCTCCCGAATACAAAAAACTACTAATTTTTGTAGTTTTAGTAGAGATGGGGTTTCACCATGTTGGCCAAGCTGGTCCCGAACTCTTTACCTCAGGTGATCCACCCGCCTCTGTCTCCCAAAGTGCTAAGATTACAGATGTGAACCACAGCACCCAGCCTTAACAAAATATTTATTAACTGCCTAGCATGGGGTCAACACTCTACGTCTCTCAGTCTGTCTATCTCAGTCTACCTGTGAGCCGAAGGATACAACTTATCTCTTAAGAGGACTATACCTGCATCCCCCCACCACCCAGGTCAAAGGGTCACATTTACAGGATGTCGTTAACTGGTCATTCAGCAAGTATGTATGAGCACCTGTGTGGGACTGGCCCGGCCACCACAGCAAATAAATGAGTCTCATCTCAATCCTGGTATGAAATGAGGACACGAAGTCCTGACCTGACCTCTGACTAAGAGAAAAGCCCTGCCTAATAGAAGAAGGGACTTGTCCTTCCTTAATGTGAATGCACCATATTCATGCACCTATGAATGATGGCTAAGACCACAGGCAAGGCCAGGGCATTGGATATAACAGCTCTGTGACGAGTTCAGGACAAAAAGCAAAAGATCAAAGATATTTGAAGACAATTTTTACTACTGATGCCGCTATAAGCAGCATCACCATCACTGTTAAATAATGGAATTGTAGTATTATGATATAGAGTCAGAAACACAGGATAATGAATTAAAATATTACAATCCAGTTGGTCTGTTTCCAAAATGTATACAGCATCTATTAATCATCCAGGCATTGCAGCCACAAGTTGGATAAGATTCAAACCGCTTACCAGATAGTTCTCCAGCCAGACAGTTAATACTGATCATTTTTATATGATATGACAAGTGACACGATTGGCCCATAAGTGCAGGGGACACCTAGAAACTAAAAGGACTCAGAGCTTCATCATCACGTAGCTGACTATCTGTAGAGTAAGTCCTAACTTCTCAGAGCCTCCTTTTCAATTTTTAAAGTGAAAAGTTGAATTGATTAATTAATATTAAACTGGTATTTCTAAAAATTATATGATAAACTCCTTTAAAGGAAAAGAGTTTTTTTGTTTTTGTTTGTTTGTTTGTTTGTTTTGAGACAGAGTCTCACTCTGTTGCCCAGGCTGGAGTGCAGTGGTGTGATTTCAGCTCACTGCAACCTCTGCCTCCTGGGTTCAAGTGATTCTAATGCCTTGGCCTCTGAGTAGCTGAGATTACAGGCACCTGCCACCATGCTGGGCTAATTTTTGTATTTTTAGTAGAGACGAGGTTTCACCATGGCTGGTCTTGAACTCCTGACCTCAGGTGATCCACCCACCTTGGCCTCCCAAAATGCTGGATTACAGGTGTGGGCCACTGTGCCTGGCAAGAAAAGAGATTTTTTTGAGAACTCACCATGTTGGCTTAAACTATTTATATTATATTACGTAAATATGTATGAAACAGAAAATGAAGTATAAACTCCTTATGCTTATAGCTCTACTGTTCCA